GTTTGCCCGAGTCCTGTCGTTTAATTTCTTGACTGCTGCCTCTAAGGGTGTTGATTGTGGATGCAAGTCAAATGAAATCCTTGACCATTTCAGTATTTTCTCCGATTATTATGAAGTTGCTTATTGTCCAGTTGTGAGGATTTTTGTTTTATGTTGGTATGTAATCCATACTGAAGGCTGTGGTCTTTGATCTTCATCAGTAAGTGCTTCAAGTCCTCTTTGCTTTTAGCAAACAAGGCTGTATCATCTGCATATCACAGATTGTTAATGAGTCTTCTTCCAATTCTTGTGCTGTGTTCTTCTTCATGTAGTCCAGTTTCTCAGATTATTTGCTCAGCACACAGTTTTAATAACTATGGTGAAAGGATACAACCCTGACCCACACCTTGCCGGATTTTAAGCCACCCAGTATACCCTTGTTCTGTTCAAATGACTGCTTCATGGTGTATGCACAAGTTCCTTAGGAGCCCAATGAAATGTTCTGGAATTTCCATTCTTCACGTTGTTATCCATAATTTGTTATGATCCACACAGTCAAATGCCTTTGCATAGTCAGTAAAACACAGGTGAACATCTTTCTGGTATTCTCTGCTTTCAGCCAAGATCTATCTGACATCAGTAATGATATCCCTAGTTAGATGTCCTTTTCTGAATCAGGCTATAATTTCTGGCTTCTTCCTATTGATATACTGCTGCAACCTTTTAAAATTATTTTCAGCAAAATAATTTAAAAATTAAAGATTATAGCCAAAAAATTCTGCAGGGAAGTTCTACTTTGTCATATTGGATGCCTACCACAGGTATAAGGGTTAGGTTTCCAACATATATTTTGTGTTGACACAATTCACTCCCTAACACTATTTCTTATTCATCTATGATTCCACAGATCTTTGCAATTAATGCTCACTGAATGAGTAAGTCTGGGTTCCCAAAATCTTTGTTCCCACCTTTAGCTCCTGTGGCTGATGGCTGTACTTAGTCCACTGCTGGTGCTTTGGCCAGGGTCACAGGCAACTTTGGCCATTATTATGGTTCAAAGAGACAACTTTCTCTTCCTCCCTGTTGCAGCTCCTGAACCTGCCCTGGTTCCATTCATCCTCAACTTCACCATCACCAACCTGCGCTACATGGATGACATGGATCCACCAAGTTCAACTTGACTGAAAGGATCCTACAGCACCTGGTAAGAGCCCCATGATGAACACCACCTTGCTTGGCCTCAACAAGTCCACCCTGAAGTCATCATCATCCCTCAAACCTGCTCCATCCCTCATCATGAAACACAGAGACAGGAGTGCCAACCTTGGTCCTCCCTGTCCTTCACCTCCCAGATCTATCCCTCTCAAGACTTTCCTTTCTCTGCATCTGCATCACCTAAAACTTTACTCGGGCAACCAGCAGCCTCCACTACAGTAGCCATCGCTCTGGCCTACATATGTCTACCTACTTCCTGTCTAGCTGACAGTCTTTGGATGGCTCCACCTGGCCTCAAGTCATGTCCAACCTCTGTTTTGCATAGTCACAGCTTCCCATTTCTGAGATCAGAGGATACTTCCAGCCTCAAGTCTACACTTTCTCTGGCCACAATAAAAGGACTTGAGGTTTCTTGTGTGCAGCTGCTCTGCCCTACCACCAGGACTTTCCCCGACTCTTCCTCCTGTCTGGAGTTTTCTTTCCAGTTGTTGGCTGCCATTTACCAAACTCTTACCCTTCTTATCATCACACCTGAAATGGTTCTTCCTTTGTGAACTTTCCTGAGTCAGTGTGTTGGATCCCCCTCCTGGACTCATATGTCTTCCAGCTCCCCTTGCAGCTTAATGATCTGATCACTGCCCTGGCCACAGTAACATAGACTAAGGCATGTCTTATGACATATAGAAGATATCATGGACTGCCAAGAGAACGAACAACTCTGTATTGGAAGAAATACAGCCAAAATGCTCCTTAGAAGCAAGGATGGTGAGACTTTGTCTCAAGTACTTTGGGCTTGTTATCAGGAAGGATCAGTTCCTGGAGAAGGACATCACGCTTGGTAAAGAAGAGGGTCAGCAAAAAACAGGAAGACCCTCAACGAGATGCATTGACACAGTGGCTGCAACAATGCGCTCAAGCATAGCAACGATTGTCAGCATGGTGCAGGACCGGGCAGTTTTTCGTTCTGTTGTACATAGGGTCACTATGAGTTGGAACTGACTCGACGGCACCTAACAACAACGACAACAATGCGTGTCTTAGTTTCCCAATGCCACTGTAACAGAAATATTACAAGTGGGTGGATTTAAAGAAAAAAAATTATTTTCTCATAATTCAGGAGGCTAAAAGTCCAGATTCAGGGCAACTGCTCTAGGGGAAGGCTCTCTGTCAGCTCCAAGGAAAATTCTTGTGACTTTCAGCTTCTATAGCCCTGCTTCCTGGCGATCTGCACATGGCATCTAACTTCCCTGGTTTTTGCTTGTGCTTCTGCATCTAATCTGTTCTTTTTATAACTGGGAGATCATTAGGTTTAGGACACACCCTACACTGATGTTGTTGTTGTTGTTAGATGTTATCGAGCCACCCTTTGAAGTCTTATGTTCAGCTCTTTTATTTCATCATTTCTTCCATTAGCTTTAGCTACTCTATGTTCAAAAGCAACTTTCAGAGTCTCTTCTGACATCCAGTTTGGTCTTTTCTTTCTTTCTTGTCTTTTTAATGACCTCTTGCTTTCTTCTTGTATGATGTCCTTGATGTCATTCCACAACTTATCTGGTCTTCGGTCATTAGCGTTCAACGTGTCAAATCTATTCTTGAGATGGTCTCTAAATTCAGGTGGGATATACTAAAGGTCATACTTTGGCTCTCTTGGACTTGTTCTAATTTTCTTCAGCTTCAACTTGAACTTACGTAAGAGCAATTGATGGTCTGTTTCACAGTCAGTCCATGACCTTGTTCTGACTGATGATATTGCACTTTTCCGTTGTCTCTTTCCACAGACGTATTCGATTTGATTCCTGTGTATTCCATCCCGTGAGGTCCATGTGTACAGTTCCTGTTTATGTTGTTGAAAAAAGGTATTTGCAAGGAAGAGGTCATTGGTCTTGCAAAATTCTATCATGCGATCTCCAGCATCATTTCTATCACCAAGACAATATTTTCCACCTACCAATCCTTTCTTCTTTGTTTCCAACTTTCGAATTCCAATCACCAGTAATTACCAATGCATCCTGATTGCATATTTGATCTATTTCAGACTGCAGAAGTTGGTAAAAATCTTCAATTTCTTCATCTTTGGCCTTAGTGGTTTGTGTGTAAATTTGAATACTAGTCATATTAACTGGTCTTCCTTTCAGGCATACGGATATTATCCTATCACTGTCAACATTGTACTTCAGGATAGATCTTGAAATGTTCTTTTTGATGATGAATGCAACACCATTCCTCTTAAATTTATCATTCCCGGCATAGTAGAACATGTGATTGTCCAATTCAAAATAGTCAAAACCAGTCCATTTCAGCTCACTAATGCCTAGGATATCAATCTTACACATTCCATTTCATTTTTGATGATTTCCAATTTTCCTAGATTCATACTTCATCTATTCCATGTTCTGATTATTAATGGATGTTTGCAGCTATTTCTTCTCATTTTGAGTCATGCCACATCAGCAAATGAAGGTCGTGAAAGCTTGACTCCATCCATGTCATTAAGGTTGACTCTACTTTGAGGAGGCAGCCCTTACCCAGTCTTATTTTGAGTGCCTTCCAAACTGAGGGGCTCATCTTCCGGCAATGTATCAATGTTCAGCTGCTATTCGTAACGTTTTCACTGGCTAATTTTTTTCAGAAGTAGACCGCCAGGTCCTTCTTCCTAGTCTGTCTTAGTCTGGAAGCTCAGCTAAAACCTGTCCACCATGGGTGACTCTGCTGGTATTTGAATACTGGTGGTATAGCTTCCAGCATCACAGCAACACGCAAGCCCCCAAAGTACCACAAACTGAAGGATGTGTGGGTGGCTACACTGATATGACCTCATTAATATAACAAAGAAACCCCTATTCCCAAATGAGATTACATCCACAGGTATGTTGTTAGGTACCTTGGAGTCAATTTTCCACTCATAACCACACAAAGGGGCCCTGGATGCACAATGGTAAAGCACTCGTCTGCTAAACAAAAGGTTGCCGATTCCAACCCACTTAGTGGCTCCTCAGGTGAAAAGATCTGACGATCTGCTCCTGTAAAAATTGTTATTGTTGTTAGGTACTGTCTAGTCTGTTCCGACTCATAGTGACCCTGTGTACAACAGAAACACTGCCAGATTCTGCACCATCCTCACAATCGTTGCTACGTTTAAGCCCATATTTGCTGCAAGACTGCCTCTTGGTCTCTACACAGGCTCCTTATGAGCACAATGAAGTGTTCTGGAATTCCTATTCTTTGCAATGTTATCCATAATTTATGATTCACACAGTCAAATGCCTTTGCATAGTCAATAAAACCCGGGTAAACATTTTACTGATATTCTCTGCTTTTGGCCAAGATCCATCTAACATCAGCAATATGTCCCTGGTTACACATCCTGTTCTGAATCAGGCTTGAATTTCTGGCCCTTCCCTGTTGATGTACTGCTGCAACCTTTTAAAATTATTTTCAGCAAAATAATTTAAAAATTAAATATTACAGCCAAAATATTCTACAGGGGAAGTTCTACTCTTTCATATTGGATGCCCGTGAGCCACAGGTATAAGGGTTAGGGTTCCAACACATATTTTGTGTAGACACAACTCAATCCATAGCCCTATGCTTTATTTATCTATGATTCCATAGAGCTTTGCACCCCATATATGCTCAATTAATGCTCAATGAATAAGTCTGGTTTGCCAAAATCTTTGTATCCACCTTCAGCTCCTGTGGCCAATGGCTGTACTTAGTCCACTGCTGGTGCTTCTGGCCATGGTCATGGGCAGCCTTGGCCATTACTGTGGTCCAAAGGTCAACTTTCTCTTCCTCCCCAAATGCAGCTGCTGAGCCTGCCCTGGTTCCGTTCACCTTGAACTTCACCATCACCAACCTGTGCTACACGGATGACCCAGCCTCCACCAAGTTCAACTTTACTGAGAGGATCCTGCAGCACCTGGTATGGGCCCCATGCTGATCACTTGGCGGCACCACCTTATACCTGCCCCCACTTTCCCTCAGCTCCTTGGGTCCTCCTGCTCACCTCATTTTCTTTTCTTACCAGCTTGGGCCCTTGCTCAGTAAAACCAGTGTTGGCCCCCTCTACTCTGACTGCAGACTGACCTCGCTCAGGTGAGACACCTTGAAAAGACAACTGGTGGGGCTGCCACAAGTGCTCCCAGGCTCAAGGCATTTGGTCAGTTTCCTTTCTGCCCTGCCAGACACACCCTCCTCAGTAGGGGTGGAATTCAGGAGGCATTTGCTCCAGGACCGAGGCATTTCCTGGTTCCCACTCCCATTCCCAGGTTCTGAAGGGCCCATTAGCAGAATTGACCCCTCCCTGATATCCTTGAACTCCTTCCTCCTTTCCTCTGACCAAGGAGGGCTTTTCCTTCAGGTGTTAAATTCTGTCTCCAGGGATTCTCTCCAGACAAAGATGCCTTGTGGACTTAGCTTTAATACCAAATCCAGCTCTTCACCTGTCTCATTTCCTCTGGCCCCTTCCTGCCATACCCCTAAAGAATCTCAGGAACCCTCTCTGGGGGAACCATTTATTAACATCCCTCACTTCCTCCTTCTACAGGGCCAAGAAGGACCAGGAAGCCACCAGAGTAGACACTGTCTGTACCCTCTGCCCTGACCCTGATGGTCCCAGGCTGGACAGAGAGTGGCTTTACTGGGAGCTGAACCAGCTGACCCAAGGGATCAGCCAGCTGGGCCCCTACACCCTGGACAGGGACAGTCTCTATGTGAATGGTGAGAGGCCCTGCTGGGGTGGGGGGTCTCCTCTCCCTTGCTAGGCGGGTCCTGCTAGGGCAGGTATCTGCCCCAAGTTCAAGCTTCTATCTGGGCCTCTCATATTAGAGGGCTTTGATCAAGGCCTCTGTCTCCTAGGCAAGAGGGAGGTGTATGGCCTTTGATCCCTGCCAGGTGGAGACTTTGTCTTCCTTGTAAGGAATCACAGCTGTGATGGTCCAGGTGTCATCTCTACCTTGACCAATTGGCCTCCTCATTGAGTGTCTCTCCCTCCCCCTTCCTCACCATCCTATCTGCAGGTTACACCCACTGGGCCTCAACCACCACCTCCACCAGTGAGTATTACAGACCTCAATATCCCTGTGTGCCTGGAACCACCTTACATCTCCTGAACAATAGGAACTACTGGACCAGCAACCCCTCTCCCCCGCCACTACTTACCATCAGGAAAGGAAAAGGGTCCAGAAGACATGCATAAAATGTGAACTGAGTTGGAGATGACAGGGGTCACCCTATTGCCCACCCTCTTGAGGATGATGACCTCTCCCTGGGCTGACAGGGGCATAAGAGAACTGTACACTTCCTTACCTAGTACCCCACCCCACCACCCAATGCAATTTCCTTAGAGATAGCTCACCATGGATGTCAACCCTTGTGTTTCTTCCCCAGCAGCTGTGAACTCATCCTTCCCACTATCCTCTCTGGCACCTGCTCTCACCACTAAGCCCACAGGTAGGAAAGTCCTCAAGCTTTTTTTGATAATGAAATCATTTCTCCAGCATTATTATACCAAATCATTTCTTTCTTCATTGCTCATTCACTGTCCCTGAGGGAGGTCATCCATTTATGTGAATTCTACCGAGCATCTAGTCTCTGGGTATCCAGATCTACACCCCACACCAGCTCCAGACACTTAGTCCATCCACCTCCTAGGACATCATTCAGATAGCTTGGTCTCAACATAACCACCCTGAAGTCATCATCATCCCTCAAACCTGCTCTTTCCCTCATCATCAAATGCAGAGGCCCTCCCTGTCCTTCACCTCCCACATCCATCCATCTCTCAAGACTTTCCCTTCTCGGCATCGGCATCACCTAAAACTTTTCTTGGGTATCCAGCATCTTCTGCTAGGATGGCTACAGTAGCCACCATTCTGGCCTACATATGTCTACCTAGTTCCTGTCTTGTTGACAATCTTTAGATTGCTCCACCTGACCTCAAGTCACATCCAACCTCTGTTCTGATAGTCACAGATTGCCCTTTCTGGTCTCAGAAGATCCTTCCTGTCCCGTGTCTTACATCTTGTGGCCACAGTGAAAGGATCTGAGGTTTCTTATGTGAGCTGCTCTGCCCTACCACCAGGCCTTTGTCCATGCTCTTCCTCCTGTCTGGAGTACTCTTTCCCATTGTTGCTGCCATTTACCAAACTCTTAACCCTTCTTAGCATCACATCTGAAATGGTGCTTCCTTTGTGAACTTTCCTGAGTCATCAGGTCTGGTGCCCCTCCTGGACTTATATGCCCCCCAGCTCACCTTGCAGCTTAATGGTCTAATTACTGCCTGGCTGCAATACTGGAGAGTAAGACATGTCCTAGTTTCCTAATGCTGTGGTAACAGAAGTATATAAGTGGGTGGCTTTAAAGAAAAGAAATTTGTTTTCTCACAATTCAAGAGGCTAGAAGTCCAGATTAAAGGCACCAGCTCTAGGGTAAGGCTCTCTCTCTCAGTTCCAGGAAGAATCCTTGTCACTTTCAGCTTCTTTAGCCCCAGCATTCTTCACTTCATTGGCAATCTGCACATGGCATCTAACTTCCCAAGTTTGTGCTTTGCTTCCGTATCTAATCTCTTCTTTTTATAACTCAGAAGTCATTATGTCTAGGACACACCCTACACTGATATGACCTCACTAATATAGCAAAGAAAAGCCTATTCCCAAATGAGATTTCATCCACAGGTGTGGAGTCGATTTTCCACTCATAACCACCCAGAGGGGCCCTGGTTGCACAATGGTTAAACACTCTGCTGGTAACCAAAAGATTGCCAGCTCTAACCCACTTAGTGGCTCCTCAGGAGAAAAGACCTCGTGAGCTGCTCCCATAAAGATTGTTGTTATTGTTGTTAGGTTCTGTCCAGTGGGTTCCAAATCATAGCCACCTTATGTACAACTGAACAAAACACTGCCTGGTCCTGTGCCATCCTCACAATCACTGCCATGTTTGAGCCCATTGTTGCAGCCCCTGAGTCACCCCATTTCACTGAGGGTCTTCCTCTTTTTCGCTCACCCTCTACCTTACCAAGCCTGATGTCCTTTACCAGGGACTGGTCCCTCCTGATAACATGATTGAAGTACGTGAGAAGAAGTCTCGCCATCCTCACTTCTAAGAAGCATTCTGGCTGTACTTTTTCCAAGACACATTTGGTCATTCTTCTGGTAGTCCATGGAATGTTCAGTATTCTTTACCAACACCATAATTCAAAGGCATCAATTCTTCTGTTTTACTTTTTCATTGTCCAGCTTCCCTATGCAAATAAGCCAGCTGAAAATGTCATGGTTTGGGATAGGTACATCTTAGTCATCAGAATGACGTCTTTGCTTTTTAAGGTTGAAAGAGGTCTTCTGCATCAGCTTTGTCCAGTGCAATGTGTCTTTTGATTTCTTGACTGCTGCCTTCGTGGGTGTTGATTGTGGATCCAAGTAAAATGAAATCCTTGACAGTTTCAATATTTTCTCCATTTATCAAAATGTTGCTTATTGGTCCAGTTGTGGAGATTTTTGTTTTCTTTATGTTGAGGTGTAATCCACACTGAAGGCTGTAGTCTTTGAACTTCCTCAGTAAGTGCTTCAAGTCCTCTTCATTTTCAGCAAACAAGGTTGTATCATCTGCAAATTGCAGGTTGTTAGTGAGCCTTCCTCCAATCCTGATGCCGCATTCTTCTTCTTACAGTCCAGCTTCTCAGAATATTTGCTCAGCATACAGATTGAATACGTGTGGTGAAAGGATACAACACTGACGCACATCTTTCCTTATTTTAAGCCACGTGATATCTCTTTGTTCTGTTCGAATGACTGCCTCTTGGTCTATGCACTGGTTCCTTATGAGCACAGTGTAGTGTTCAGAATTCCCCTTCACAGGAATGTTATCTGTAATTTGTCATGATTCACACAGTAAAATGCCTTTGCATAGTCAATAAAACACAAGAAAACATGTTTCTGGTATTCTCTGCTTTCAGCCAAGATCCGTATGTCATCAGCAATGGTATCCCTTGTTCCACGTCCTCGTCTGAATCAAGCTTGAATTTCTGGCCGTTCCCTGTTGATGTACTGCTGCAACCTTTTAAAATTATTTTAAGTAATATAATTTAAAAACAAAGATTACAGCCTAAAAAATCCTATGTGGGCAGTTCTACTTTGTCATATTGGATGCCTATGATCCACATGTGTAAAGTTTAGGGTTCAAACACATGTTTTGTGTTGACACAATTCAATCCATAACACTATGCCTTATTCATCTATGATTCCACAGATTTTTGCACCCATATATGCTCAATTAATGCTCATTGAATAAGTCTGGGTTCCCAAAGTCTTTGTTCCCTCCTTATGCTCCTGCGGCCGATGGCTGTACTTAGTCCACTGCTGGTGTTTCTAGCCAGGGTCCGAGGTAACCATGGCGATTACTATGGTACAAAGAGACAACTTTCTCTTCCTCCTCCAATGCAGCTCCTGAACCTGCCCCAGATCTGTTCACCCTTAACTTCAGCATTACCAACCTGTGCTACACAGATGACATGGGATGTTTGGGATCCACCGAGTTCAACTTGACTGAAAAGATCCTGAAGTGACGGGTAAGAGCACCACGATGGTCACTCGGCTGCACCACCTCATCCCTGCCCACACAGTCCCTCAACTCCTTGGAACTTCCTGCTCACCTCCTTCTCTTTTCTCACCAGCTTGGGCCCTTGCTCAATAAGAACAGTGTTGGCGCCCTTTACTCTGGCTGTAGATCGACCTCGCTCACATGAGACACCTTGAAAAGACAACTGATGGGAATGCCGAAAGTGATCCCATGCGCAAGGCATTTGGTCAGTGTCCTTCCTGCCGTGCCTGATACAACCTCCTCAGTAGAGGTGGAATTCAGGAGGCATTTGCTCCAGGACCAAGCTATTTCCTGGTCCCCACTCCCACTCTCAGGCTCTGCAGGGCCCATCAGCAGGACTGCCCCCTCCCTGTTACCCCCTGAACTCCCTCTTCCCCTTCCTTTGACCAATTAGGACAGTTTCTTCAGGTGTTAAATTCTGTCCCCAGGGATTCTCTCCAGACGAAGATGCCTTGTGCACTTGCTTTAATCTCAAATCAGGCTCTTCACCTACCTCATTTCCTCTTGCCCCTTTCTGCCCTACCCCTAAAGAATCTCAGGACCCCTTTCTGGGGCACCATTTGTTGTCATCCCTCACATCCTCCCTCCCCAGACCTAAGAAGGAAGGGGAAGCCACCAGAGTAGATGTCATCTGCACCCTCCGCCCTGACCCTGAGGGCCCCAGGTTGAACAGAGAGCGGCTTCACTGGGAGCTGAAACAGCTGATCTATGGGGTTACCCAGCTGAGCCCCTACACCCTGGACAGGGACAGTCTGTATGCCCTGCTGGGGTTGGGTTCTCCTCCCCCTTGCTGGATAGGTCATGCTAAGGCAAATATCTACCCCAAGTTTAGGTTTCCATCTGGGCCTCTCATTTTAGAGGGCCTTGATCAAGGCCTCTATCTCCTGGTGGGTGTGTGGCATTTGATCACTGCCAGGTTGGGGCTCTGTCTTCCTCGAAAGCAATCACAGCTGTGATGGTCCAGCTGCCATCTCTACCTTGACCAAGTGGCCTCCTCACTGAATGTCTCTCCCTCCTCCTGCCTCACCATTCTATCTGCAGGTTACACCAACTGGGCCTCTGCCACCACCTCCACCAGTGAGTATTACAGACCCCAATATCCCTGTGTGCCTGGGACCACCTCACATCTCCTAAACAATACAAGCTGCTGGACCTGCCAATCCTCCACCACTACCTACCATCAGGAAGGAAAAAGGTCCAGAGGACATGCATAGAAAGTGGATTGAGTTACAGATAATGGCAGTCTCCCCCTTCCTCACCCTCTTGAGGATGATGGTCTCTCCCTGGGTGGAGAGGGGCATAAGAGAGCTGTACATTTCCTTGTCTTCTTAGTTCCCCACCCCCACCACCCATTGCCATTTCCTTAGCAATAGCTCATCTTAGATTTCAATCCTGGTGTTTCTTCTCCAGCAGCTGTGACCTCCACATCCTTCTCAGCATCCTCTCTTGCACCTGCCCTCACCACCAAGCCCACAGGTAAGAAAGGCCTCAGGCTCTTATTGATAATGAAATCTCTTCTGCAGCATTATTTGTATCAAATCATTTCTTCCTTCGTTGCTCACTCACTCTCCCAGAGGGTGCTCATCCATTTATGTGGATTCTACTGACCATTTAGCCTTCGAGTCCCCAAATCCACACCACACGGCAGCTCTGGACCCCTTGTCCATTCACCCCCTGGGATACCACTCAGGCCTCCTGGTCTCAACATGTCCACCCTGAAGTCATCACCATCCTTCATATCTGCTCCATCCCTTATCACCAAACACAGTCTGGTGTGCCAACCTTGGCCCTTCCTGTTCCTCACCTCCCACATACATCCATCACCAAAGCTCATCTTTTGTCCTTCCTAAATATCTCTCAGGTCCTTCCTTTCTCTGCATCTGCATCACTTCAACCTTCATTCAGACCACCAGCATCTTTCACTACGATGGCTGTAGTAGCCTCCACTATGGCCTATATATGTCCATGTAATTCCTGTCTTGTTGACAATCTTTGGATGGCTCCACTTGGCCTCAAGTCACACCCAAACTCTGTTCTGGATAGTCACAACCTCCCTTTCTGGGATCAGAGGATCCTTCCAGACTCATATCTAAACTTCCCTGTGTCCACAATGAAAGGAATTGAGGTTCTTTGTGTGAAACTGCTCTGCCCTACTACCAAGGCCTTTACCTAGGCTGTTCTTCCTGCCTGGAGCATTCTTTCCAGTTGTCAGCTACCATTTACCTAACTCACACCCAAAATGGTTCCTCCTTTATGAAGCTTTCCTGAGTCATTGAATTGGGTATACTTTCTTGACACATATGTACCCTAGATTCCCCTGCAGTGTCTGGTCACTCCCCTGGTCACAATACTGGGAGATTACATGTCTTAATTATCTAGTGTTGCTGTAACAGAAATACTATAAGTGGTCGGCTTTAAAGAACAGAAATTTATTTTCTCAGACTTTCAGAGACTGGAGGCACCAGTTTTAGTCAGCTCTGGGGGAAAATCCTTGTCTCTTTCAGGTTCTGTAGATCAGCATTCCTTGGTTCCTTGGAAATCTTCACATGGCATATATATTCCCCAGTTTGTTTTTGTGCTTCTGTGTCTAATCCGCTCTTTTAATAACTCAAAAGGGATTAGGTTTAGGGTGTACAATGATAATGACCTCATTAACATAACAAATAAAACCTTATTCCCAAACTGGATTACATCCAGTTACACAAGTTAGGATTCCAACACATATTTTGGTGGGACACATTTCAAATGGTAACGTTATGCATTATTCATCTACGAACCCACAGAGCCCTGCACAGAGCTTTGCACTCATTCCAAAACCAAAACATCAAACTCCCTGCTGTCAAGTTGATTCTGACTCATAATGACCCTAAGTGTTACAGAGTAGAACTACTCCATAGGGTTTTTTTTGGCTGTAATCTTTACGGAAGCAGATCACCAGGGTGGGTTCAAACAGCCAACCTTTAGGTTAAAAGCCCATTGCAAACCACTTGCACCACACAGGGACATTTGTACCCATTAGCGTGCAATAAATGCTCATTGAATGAATGAGTCAAGGTTCCCAACATCTTGTGAATTCCAGAATGTTCCTTCCTTCAGCTCCTGCAGCTCCTGCAACCGATGGCTATACTTAGTCCACTGCTGGTGCTTCTGGCCAGGGTCCCAGGCAACCTTGGCCGTTACTATGATCCAAATGGACATCTCTCTCTTCTTCTCCCAATACAGCTGCTGAACCTACCCTGGTTCCGTTCACCCTCAGCTTTACCATCACCAACCTGTGCTACATGGATGACATGGGACGCCCAGGCTCCACCAAGTTCAACTTCACTGAGAGGGTCTTGCAGTGCCTGGTGAAAGACCCATGATGACCACCCACCAGTCCTCCTCACACTGTCACACCTTCCCACACAGCCCCTCAGCCCCTTGGGCCTTCCTGCTCACCTCCTTCTCTTTTCTCACCAGCTTGGAACTTTACTCAATAAGACCAGCATCGGTGCCCTGTACTCTGGTTGCAGACTGGCCTGCCTCAGGTGAGAACCCTGGATAGAAGGATTCAGCAGGTTGGGTGGACCCTCATGCACAGGGCTCAGTTTCTGTGACCTCCAGCTCCACCTAACTACTTCATGACCTCTTCAATTCCCAGAACGCTTAAAGGTTAGAGACAAGGAACCATGTTTACATTTATAGGCTCCAGATGATATTTTGTTATAAATGAGGGGTCTCCTCTAAGAAGTAACCACTGCATCCTGTCTGCAAATTCTAAGAACAATGTTTTCTGTCCCCAGCAGTGAACGTGTTATCTCAGATGACAGACACCTAGGAGAGCCCCTCTCAACATCAGAGTTAGCTCTTTCAGCATCTCCCTTCAATTCTCTTCCTTTACATACCTGGAATGCTCAGGGATCCTTTTTCATGTTTCTCCATCCCCATATCCTTCCTTCTGCAGGCCTGAGAAGGCATAGAAACCACTGGAGTGGATGCTGTCTGCACCTACTACTCTGACCCTGAGGGCCCCAGGTTGGACAGAGAGCAGCTGTACTGGGCACTGAGCCAGTTGACCCATGGTGTCAACCAACTGGACTACTACAGTCTAGACCAAGACATTCTTTATAGACAGTTTTTCAATAGTAAGGGGCTATGCTGCAGCTGGATCTGTCTTCCAGTTGGAGTCTTGTGTTTTCCCAAAACTCTGAGGAAGGCCACGATCTCCCCAGAGTGAGCATTAATCTAGTCTTTCCCACTCCTGGGTCTGAGTTCCATCTTCATTGTGATGAATTAATGCCCTAGTGGGGATAATGACTGGATCCAGCCACCTCAACCTCATAGACTGATTGCCTCTTCCTGAACATCGCTCCACAGCCTCTTCCCTGTGCTTTTCCTGCAGAAGTTCCTAATCTTGTCTTTTACTTAATGTTTTCAAGGTCCATCCATGTTGTAACATGTCTCAGGACTTTGTTTCTCTCAATGGCTGAGTCATATTCCACTGTGTGTACAGCCACATTTTTTTAATTCTTTCATCTGTTGATGGACATTTAGGTTGTTTCCACCTTCTGGCTATTGTGAATAGTGCTGCCACGAATATTGATGTTCTTCTTATCCTTTATATACACCCTGACTCTCTTCAACTCTTCTTCCCTTCTCTCTGCAGGTTTCACCTATGGAGCCTCAGCCTCAACTACAACCAGTGAGTATTTCTGGCCCTGATTTCCTGGGTTCCATCCTCAGTTTGGTGGGAGAGCTGGTTCTCCTTTACTTACTACCCTCAATGAGGGAAACATCTGGAAGGGCCTCTAACTCACACCTCCTCCCCTCCTGGCTCCTGGTGGAGAGTCCTAGCCCAGAGTGAAGAGGGCTTAGACACAGATATGATGTGGCCCTCACATGGTTTTCACTTTAATCTGAAAAAGTTGCCCAGTATTGTCTTTTCTTAATCTTTCTTTGTCTTTTCATTTTTTAAGTTTTTTTTTGTGGTAAAAAATTGTATAACAAAACATTTGTCAATTCAACAATTTTTACACGTACAATTTTGTGAGATTGATTATACATTCATCGTATTGGACAACCATCACCACTATTCTTTTCCAAATTATTCCACCACAATTAACAGAAACTCAGTGCTCCTAAGCAATGACTCCCCCTTCTCCCTTCCTTCCCACCCCTGGTAACCACTGATAAGCTTTTATTTCTATATATTTACCTATTTCATGTAAAAGGGATCATAAAATATTTACCCTTCTGTGACTAACTTATTTTGCTTAGCATAATGTTTTCAAGGTTCATCCATGTTGTGGCATGCAACAGAACTTCATTTCTTTTTATGGCTACTTAATATTCCATTGTACGTGTATACTACATTTTGATCATTCATCTATTGATGGACATTTAAGCCGTTTCCACCTTTTGGCTATTGTGAATAGTGCTGCAGTGAACACTGATGTTCTTCTTATCCTTTAATTCATATCTCTGTTTGTTATTCTGAGACTTTCTTAACATCACTGTTGCACCTGTTGTGGTTGAGTTTTCAGCTAACATTTATTGAAACCTATGACCTTCCAGACACCTTGCTAAAAGAGTTACATACACTATCTTCCTTAATCCTTACCACAGCCATGTGACTTAGCTCCATTTTACAGATGAGAAAGCTCAGGCTCAGAGAGGCTGAGTCTCCTGCAAAGGCCACACGGCAAATAAATAATAGAACCAGGATTTCACATACTCCAACTCATTGTCTAACTCTCCACACTATTCATTTATTGGTTTATTCATTCCAAAAGACATGCTTATTTTTGGGGTACACTCTTATGGTCATGTTCAAGGGCCAAACTCCTTTTGCATCCCCAAAAAACCCTGTGATAAGCACCTTGTTGGTTTTCAAGAATTAATTGCCCTTGTATTAGGAATGTGTTTTCTCAACCCAGTCAAACTCTCCTTGGGGTCCATCACTGGTCTCTTACATCTCATCCTCCATCACTTTCTGTCACCACAGCAGGAGCCTGGGCCACTGAGGTGCAATAACAACCATCTTTTTCCAAATGATAGGGGGAAAATAAGTCAATGTCAACTCCATGAGTACAAGGACTGTGTTTTATTTATCACTGTCTCTAGCCCTTGTAACAATTCCTGGAACATTATAAGGCCAAGTCAATATGTGTGGAAGGGAGAAAAGATGGATGGATGGAAGGATGGGTGGAGAAAAAGATGGATAGGAGGAAGGAAAAATGGATGGAAGAAAAGAAGACGGGAGGGAAGGAGAGAAAGGACAGATGGATGGATGGATGGACGGAAGGATGAACGGATGAACAGATGGAAGGACGGATGGATGGAAGGATGGATGGATGGATGGAAGAGAAGATAGATGGAAGAAGGAAAGAGAGAAAGATGATGGATAGAGCAAGAAAGGCAGAAGAGAGGGAGAAAGAAAGATGGAGGAAGGAAGGATAGATGGATAAGATGGATGGATGGATGGATGGAAGAGAAGTTTGAAGGAAGAATTAAAGAAAAAAGGAAGGGTGGAAGGATGGACAGAAGGGTGCATGGAAAGAAGTATGAATGAAAGGAAAAAAAGAAGAGTGGAAAGAAGGAAGGAAAATAGTTGGATGGAAGGAAGGAAGAAAGAAGGAATGGAAGGAAGAAAGGAAGCATGGACAGTATGCATGGAAGGAGGTAAAACAGAAGGAAGGAAAGACTTGTGGATGGAACAAAAGAAAGATGCAGGGAAAGAAGAAAGAAGGGATAGAAGGAGAGAAGGAAAAATGGACGAAAGGATGCATGGATGGAGGGATGAATGAAAAGAAGAAAAGAGGAGGGAGGGAGGGAGGACAGGAAGGCAGTAAAGTTTTCTTCCACAGGTTTGTCTTAAACAATTTAGCACCTGCACCACTTATCTATTCTAGAGTCAAGTCACAGGACTCTGATCTCACCTGTGCCATGAGTTCACTTTATGCTCCTTCCCATGGGGTTCTGCACGGTAGCCCCACTACTGTGTACTGCCTCAGCTGCACAGGTCTGAGGACTCGCATAACAGGGATGTTAAGAGCATAGACTCTGGGGTTGGAGACCGTGGGTCCAAACTGACTCTTCCTCCCTCCAGTCATGTGACCCTGGGCAGGCGTCCCTTTCTGGGCTTTGGTTGCCTCCTTTGTTAGATGTGGATAATTCTAGTACGCAGCTCACATATATCCATGTAAAAAGTGAATTCCCGAAGTGTTCACGTCTTTATTTTGTAAAATAGACACATAGTGCTTACTCTGTGCCTGGCACTGCGCTAAGCACTTTACAAAGCTTAACCCGTTTAAGCCTCATAACAGCCTTTGAAGTAAAAATCATTATTATCCCATCTTCCAGATAAATAAATTGAAGTGCAGAGATTTTGGTGTGGCTGTTAGGATTATTGTGTGTGTGTATTGTTTTTCTTTGTTTGTTATTAATGTCTTTATTATTAACCAATATATAGAAGGTTCTTATATCTGACTGTGAGGGCAGGGGAGAGGGAAATAGAAAGAAAGAGAGAGGCAGAGAGAGACAGAAGCACAGACAGAGGCAAGAGAGACAGAGAGATAGAGATGGGAGCAGAGAGAACCTGAGTGAAAATGTGCAGGGTCTTTGGTTCCACACCAGTGTGTCAGGATTTAGCCTTTCCTTCTGGGAAAGAACAGAACTATTAATGTTTTCACCGAGCTCTCCCTTCCTACATCTGAGTAAAAAGGGCCCAGCTAGATGCTCCAAATCATTAAGCACTCACACCGCAATTTCCTGCTGGAGTCCCTGGGTGGTGCAAATGGCTAATGTACTTGGCTGCTAATCTCAAGGTTGAGGGTTTTAATCTACCCACAGGTGCCTTGAAAGAAAGGCCCAGCAACCTGCTTCCAAAAAATTAGCCACTCAAAACCCTATGGAGCACAGTTCTATTCTGGCACACGCAGGGTCCACTGCACCAGGCAGGTTGGTTATTTTTATTCCCTGCTGGAGTTGTCTCTAACTAGTGACCCTCAGGCTGATCTGGAGGAGGGCATGAGGACCCTGGAAACCCCTCCCTGAGCCTTGTCTGTCTCCCCTGCGGCAGCCGAGGAGGTTAGCGAGGATTCGAGGATTCGATTCGTTCACCCTGAACTTCACCGTCGACAACCTGAGCTACTCGGCAGACATGGGCCGACCCGGCTCCCTCAAGTTCAACATCACGGACACCCTCATGCAGCACCTGGTGAGAGGCCTGCTTTCCCTGCCCGCCCCTTTGTGCCCAGCCCAGCGCTCTTGCTCGTATCTGACCTGCACTGGCTCCCTGCTTCCCTTCCAGCTCAGCCCCGTGTTCCAGAGGAGCAGCCTGGGTGCCGGATATGCAGGCTGCAGGCTCACCGCGCTAAGGTGAGACCTGTCTCTCCCTTCAGGCTGTACCCTCCTCTCTGCCACCACCGAGGAATTTGGGGTTCTGACCTCTGACTATGGGGGCCACCCGGGTTGGTGGTGGGCTCCCCGTGGAGGGTCCTCTTCTGCATCCATTTTCTCTGACGTCTCCAGTCAGCTTGCGTTCTGTTGGCATTTACTAAGCACAGTCCCTAGGTGGCGCAAGCGGTTTGCGCTCCAGTACTAATGTAAAGTTTGACAGTTTGAATCCACCCAGTGGTACTGCTGAAGGCCTGGTGATCCACTTCCATTAAGATTACAGCCAAGAAAACCCCACGGAGCAGTTGTACTCTGACTCAAAGGAGTTGCCATGGGTCAGAATTGACTTGACAGCAAAGGGTTTGGTTTGGTTTTTTCAGTCCTTGGTTGTGGAATGGGTTTTCAGCGCACGGGTTAAGCACTCAACTACTAACAAAAAGTTGGAGGTTTGAGCCCACCCAGAAGTACCTCAGAAGAAAGGCCTGGTGATATACTTCTGACATTCAACCACTGAAAACCCTGTAGAGCACAGTTCTGCTCTGACACACATGAGGCCCCCATGAGCTGGAGTCAACTCTGTAGCAATTGGGTTACTGGGGAGTCCATTCATATCTGTGTTCAGTTGACACCTATGGTGCAGCTTCTCTGAAGTAGGTGGCAGGAACCACAGGAACAAGACAGACACTGCTCCCTGCCCTCATCTAGTGGAGAAGAACAGATCCTAAGCGGGAAAATAGGTATCTACATAAGACTATTTCAAACAAGGTGAGGTGATGTGGACCATAGAGAGTGATGGGGAGGACAGCTTTCCCTAGGACACAGGGATAAGCCTCTCTGTGCAGCTGACTTTGGAGCTGTGCACTGAATGACAAGAAAACTGTTCCAGGCAGAGGGAACAGCAGGGGCAAATGTCTTGAGGTGAGAATGACCTTGGCGTGTTCGGTGAACAGCAGTGAGGCCAGTGTGGCTGGAGGAAAGAGAGAGCAAGGGGAAGAGAGGGAGTAGATGAGCTTTGAGGTATCAGCAGGGTCTACAGCACATAGGGTCTTGGAGGACTTTATTTTAATATGAAGCAGGCACTATGCTAGGTGCTGGAGGTTCAACATAAAACAGAGAACCAGGCTGGCCCATTCCCTGCCTTCATGGAAGCCACAGTCTGGAGGGAACATAGACAAAAAATATATGATGACATAGAGGGCAACCAGGGCTGTTATTAGTCAACGCCCATGGAAACAGCAGTCAAGAAATCAAACAACATATTGCACTGGGCGAATGTGCTGCAAAGGACTTCTTTAAAGCTATAAAAAGCAAAAATGTCAGTAATGAATAAGGTGCACCTGACCCGAGCCATGGTCTTTTCAATGGACTCATATGTATGCAAAGGTGAACAATAAAAAAAAGAAGAATTGATGCATTTGAATTGTGATGTTGGCGAAGAATATTGACTGTACTGTAGACTGCTAGAAGAACACACAAATCGGTGTTAGAAGAAATACAACTGGAATGCTCTTTAGGAGCGAGGATGTTGAGATTTATGTTGCTTACTTTGGACACGTCATCAAGAAAGACCAATGGCTAAAAAAAGACATCATGTTTGATAGATGGCCAAGGAAAACCCTCAACGAGATGGAATTTCACAATAGACGAAACAATGGACTCAAACATACCAACGATCGTGAAGATGGCACAGGACCAGGCAACATTGCCTCCTCTTGTACATAAGGTCACCATGAGTTGGAGCTGATTTGACAGCAACTAACAATAACACAACAACCAGGAATGTGATGGGGAAGCACGGGGGCTGGGCGTCCTGGAAGAGGCCCTTGGCCCAGCCTGGGAGGGTCCTTGGAGGAGGAAGCATCTAGGCTGAGACCTGAGAAATGACTGAGGAGTCACCCAGGTAAGGTGGGAAAAGGAGAGTCTTCCAGAGTAGTAACCACATGTGCCAAGGTCCCTAGGTGAGAGAATATAGCCATGTAGAAATGCTATGAATGGTTCAGTGAGGCTAGAACTTGGATGTGAGGTGTGCAGTAGTGACAGGTGGCATGCATCCCCCAAAAGCCAACCTCGCCTTCGCATCCTCAGAAGAAACCTCCCTCCCCAGGTCTGAGAACAATGGTGCCTGGACAGGGATGAACACCCTCTGCACCTACTGGCAGCCCCCTAGGGGTCCAGGCCTGTGTGCCAAGCAAGTATTCCATGAGTTGAGCTGGCAGACCCACGGCATTACCCGCCTGGGCCCCTACTCACTGGACAAGGACAGCCTCTACCTCAATGGTGAGTGGCCCTCATCCCCACCTCCCTGAACCCACCCTCTCCTCCCAGGAGGGTCTCTGTTTACCAGTTCTCCAGGCAAAGACTTGAAACAAACTCAAGTGTGAATCCCGGTTCCACCACTGACCTCCTGCAGTCACCTTGCAAGGCCAGTCCTTGATTAACCCCATTTAACAGATGAAAAAACTGAGACTCAGAAAGGCTAAGTAATTTGCCCCGGTGGGTGTAGCTGGAGAGGTGAGCTGGGGCTTGAACCACAGTTGTCAGAATCCAAAGCCTTGATCCCCTCTATGCAATTAACTCATAGAAGAGTCTTCTTGGGGGAGCCCTGGGGAAAAAATTCCCACATGTCTCCCCTCCTTGCTTCCAATGGACTTCTCTCCTGGGTGGGCCCCTGTGCCAGGAAGGCAGGCAGGCACTCTGAACATCTAGGGGATCTAAGCTGCAGACACACTGGATATCACCTTCAGCCAAGAACCCCAGAAGGGACCCTGTTCAACAAGAGGGTGTCCCCCATCTGGATTCTACAAGGCACAGTGTGGCCGTGGTGAGGCAGATCAAAATAACTCCCTTTCCCGCCCCTCCACACCCAACCTGAGAGCAGCGCTTGTCACTCACACTCTCTTATTTCCTGCTCTTCTCACCATTGCCCTTTGAGTGGGCAAGGAGAATGTGGCCTTTAAAAAGAACCAAAACCTGTTGCCGTTGAGCCTATTCTGACTTATCGTGACCCTATAAGACAAAGTAGAATTGCCTCATAGGATTTCCAAGGCTGTAAATCATCATGGAAACAGACAGCCACATCTTTCTCCCACGGAGCAGCTTGTGGGTTTGAAACACCAGCCTTTTGGTTAGTAGCCAAGCAATAACCACCATGCCACCAGGACTGCTGGTGGCCTTTATTACTCCCATTTTAGCAAAACAGGAAATGGAGGCACAGGGAGGTGAAGGGACTGGCCCATGCCCACAGTAAGTTTGTGGCCAGTCTGCATCTTGATGTTCTGAGTCCACATCTGTTCCCTTAGCTTCTGCCATTGCAGGGGCTGTTTAGGATTTGCCCTCTTGGAAAGTGCACAACGTATATGCATCGTTTTGTGCACTCATTCAGCATTTGCCAACCATCTACTATAGGCCAGGCCCTGTGCATGGGACCAGGGACAGAGATAAGTCAGATGTGTGTCCTGGCCTAATGTAAGCTCCAATGGGGTAGGACTGTTTTGTTCAGTGCTATATTCTCCAAATATGAAAGGAACCTGGACCTAAAAAACAAACAGTTGCTGTCAAGTTGAATCCGACTCATGGCAACCTCATGTGTGTCAGAGTAGAACTATGTGCTGTAGGGTTTTCAGTGGCTGATTTTTCACAAGCAGATCACCAGGCCTTTCCTCTGAGGTGTCTCTGGGAATACTCAAACCATCGACCTTTCAGTTAGAAGCTAATCACTTAACGATTTGTGCCACCCAGGGACTCCTGGCACCTAATAGGGCTTCAGTAAATATTCATTGGATGGAGGGATAGATTGGAGGAAGGTGGAAGAGTGGAGAGGTGGATGGGTGGGTAAGTGGATGAGGGGGGAGGGAAGGGTCAGTTCTAACTGTGGGATCAAGAAAACCTTTAGAGAGGGGGTGACATTTGAACTGGATCTTAGAAAGCAAAGGCATCCAGCAGGGGACCTACATGGACAAAGGCATGGATGTATCCAGGACTGTTCTGCCACCTCCCCTTATGTGTCATGTTTTGTTTCCAGGTTATAATGAACGTAGGCCAGCTGAGCCTCCTACAAGTACGTATCCTTGCACCCAGTGCCCATGTCAGACTTTGTGGGTCCTGGACCAAGCTTCTCTTCTCAATCACAAAGGGAGTTATCCCTGTCAACTTGCTTGCTGTGCCAACTTACAGAGCAAAACTGTCAAGCCAAGGTCCAAGCCCGGGATTGCCAACAAAAGCACAACTTATACACAAGCATTGGGTGGAACAGCTCTTTATTCACATAGGGAAGAGACAAAGCAAGGTCAGTTTCAATAGCGACACCAGCGCCCCATGACCAGTGGGTCCCTTCCCACAGCCAATGCAGAGCTGATGTCCTGAGTGCACCCCTCTTGTGCCACAGGTAAGGGACTTCGCTCCCTCTCCACTAGGAACAGATAGAGAAGTGGGGTTGGGCAGGTGCCATATGCTGCACACGCATGAGCAGAACAGAGAGATTACTGTGTACCCAGAACAGGGAATGAGGATCCCTGATAAGGAAAAGAAACTGGGAGAGAGAGGGAGACTCAGTTCCCAGCCTTCATTATCAGGAAATGTTCTGGGGCCAAGGCTGCTGATTAGGCAGCCTGGGTAAGAGGCACAGAGACCTTGGCAGACTGGCCTCCCAACAACCCCAAACTCAGGTAGGTCTCCTGAGTGGGGCCAAGGCCTCAGTGGGAGGAAGAAGGCTGGGTCTTTGACCTCTCCTGGACCTATGGCCATGATATCAGCGTTCAGAATTTCCCACACACCCCTGAGGTAGAGGAAGATGTTTAGACAAGTATTCCCTGCAGAAATAGGGGTTGAAGTCAGATGATGACCATGTAGCCCATGCCTCCTGCTAACAGGAGTCCAAATACGCAACTGCATGCTCTGGCAGCTGCTTAAGTGGCTTTGGCCAAAATTACCCATTCACTCATCCAGTGCCACAATCATCTATCTTTCCACCCATCCATTCTTCCATCCTTCCAGTCATCCCTCCTCTCAGCACCCATTCTTCCATCCATCCATCTGCCGCTTCTATCCTTCTTTTCTTCCGTCTTCAACATTTCTCACTTGTTTTTTATTCTTTCTGACCCTCCATTTTTCTGTTCTTCCCTCTGTCCATCCATCTAGCCCATCTGTCTGTCAATTTTTCTATCCATCCATCCATCTGTCCTCTTTGTTCAGCATCTCTCTGGCTCACCTATTCTTGCACCCTTGGGTTAATCCATTTGCATGCTTTCTCAGGACTTCACTCACAGTCACTCCTTCCCTCATTCTCATATATGGCGCACCTGTGAATGGTTGTTCTGGGCTGGACAGCCACTGGAGCCCAGGTGGGCCCCTACTCTCTGTGGGGGGCTCTATCCCTCCCTGATGACTGTCCTTTCCACAGATCCTGAGTTGGCCACTACAGTCCTGCCTCCTTCATCAGCACCTGTGCAGCCAGAAGCCACCACAGGTATCTGAGGGCTCCCTTCCACTCTGAGGAAAGCTCCCCAGTCACACACCTCCACCAGGTGTCAGACAGGGACTCGGAAAGTCAGAGTGTAAAGAGTCGTAAGTTAGTGTGATTATTCTGATCACAAAGATTAGACCAGCAATTCCATATGACTCCTGCCCTCAAGGAGCTCCCAGTCTTGTGAGACAAACAGACCATTATGACACAGTGTGAGGTGTTTTGGGGAGAGGCACCTGGCATAATTTGGGAGGGGGGTTGTGGAGAAAGTTTCATCTAAACTAGGTCTTTAAGGGTGGGCAGAAATGATCTAGGCAAATAACACCTGAAGGATGGTCCTGTCAGCGGGGATTACATGATCACCAGTTCAGTGTCCTGAAACAGCATGGTGTATGGGGAGCATTGAGAGGAATTTGGTTCATAACAGACTGAGAGTCTTCAGGGGCCACATTGGGAAGGGTCTTGATGGCCAGGTCAAGAAGCTTGAACATAACACTGAAGCCATAGGGAGCAATGAGTGGTACTAGAGCAGGGGTGGCCCTGGCGACACTTTCATTTCAGAAAGATTCTTCTAGTGTTCAGTGTCCCTTCAGACAGGGAACCTACTGAGTCAGCTGGGTGTGCTGATCCAGGTGAGAGAGAAGATAAGGCCTGAGTTTGGATAAGGATGGAGAGAGAAGATGTATGTGAGAAGCATCCATCAAGTGGAATTGTTGTTACTTGGAGGTGAGGGCGAGGGAAGAGCTGGGTTGCTACACAGGTTCTGAACTTGAGTGATCGTGGGAGTGGGTGGTGGTGCCGGTGGGAGAGAAGACAACAGGTTATAACGAGTGCAGGGCTCCAGTCTGGTCTCGGGCCAGCTCTCAGGGATGTGTGTCTCTCCTCCTCCCTTCCTGCAGCTACGGACATACCCTGAAGACCCTCAAGCTCAACTTCACCATCTCCAACCTCCAGTATTCACCAGACATGAGCAACCTCAGCTCTGCCACTTTCAACTCCACTGAGAGGATCCTGCAGCACCTGGTGAGAGATGGATTACAGCACCTCCTGATGGGATAAACTCTGCCCAGCCCCTCCCTAGTGATGGCAGTGGTGGTTCAGTGGTAGAATTCTCCCCTTCTATGCAGGAAGCACCCAGCCAATACACCTCATGTGCAGCCACCACTATCTGTCAGTGGAGGCTTGCGTGTTGCTATGATGCCGGACAAATTTCAGTGGAGCTTCCAGACTAATATGGTCTAGGAAGAAAGGCCTGGTAATCTACTTCAGAAAATCAGCCAGTGAAAATCCTATGACTCACAAAACAGTTCAATCTGCAGCCAATCACGGAGATGGTGCAGGACTGGGCAGCGTTTCCTTCTATTGTACATGGGGTTGCCATGAGTCAGAGCCTGACTCAATGCCAGCTAACAACAAAAACAGCCCCTCCCCAAACTACAGTGCCTCCTACTCACCCTCCTCCCTCTTCCTCCCCAGCTCAGACCCTTGTTCCAGAACAGCAGCCTGGGCCCCTTCTACTCAGATTGTAGACTGATCTCCCTCAGGTGAGACCTCTTCCTGGCCGTTTACCTGTAATGATCACCCCTTTCTGTGACTGCCCCTTTCTCAGTTTGCCCACTCCTCCCACTTGCTCCATCCTCCTTCTGTTTCTCCCCCTAGAGGTCTCAGGACCTCTTCCTAGAGTCCCCACATCCCTTCCTCTCCAGGCCTGAGAAGCACAGGGCAGCAACCAGAGTGGACGCCATCTGCACCTACAGCTCTGACCCTGTGGGCCACAGACTACACAGAGAACAGCTGTACTGGGAGCTGAGCCAGCTGACTTTAGGCATCACCCAACTGGGTTACTCCACCCTGGACAGGGGCAGCCTCTCTGTCAATGGTGAGTGGTCATGTGAAATTTGGACTTACAATGACCATTACTGGCCCTTGTTTTATTGTCTTTCCTCTCCCAAATGTCAGCACCAAGCTTAGCTGGAGGTCACTCCTCCCCAAACCACCATGGGTAGGGTCTTGTTATTTCAGGTAAATGGCAATTAATGCAACAAATTTTAATTCAAAACCAAAAGTCTGACTCATGGAATTTCCTGAAATGGGGTTACAGGTTCCTCTGCATGAGGCTCCTCCATATCAGTGGTTCTTACCTGATGGCTATTCTGCGCCCCAGGAGACACCTGACAATGTCTGGAGATGTTTGTGGTTGTCACAACTAGGTGCTACTGGCGTCTAGTGCGTAGAGGCCAGGGATGCTGCTCAACATCCTTCAGTGCATGGGGACCCCCACTACAGTGCTCGGGGGCCCACCCCACAGTGCTCAGAGACCCCTACCACAGTGCATAGGGGCCTCCACCACAGTGCATGGAAGCCCCTCATGTACTGTGAGACCCCACCTCCAAAGCTGAGCAAACCCAACAGGACAAGGAGCAGAATGGGCCCTGAATATGCCCATGTAGCTGGCCAAAAGGGCCACACAGGACCTTAGGATGTGGAGCAGAGAGATACTGAGCGTGAGAATCCCATTCCTCCTGTTCAGATGAAACTTGACACTCACATTCCCCATGCTTCACGGTCGGGCTGCCAGATAAAATACAGGATTATGTATTTATGTGTCACGTAAGAATTATATAGCCCCAAATGTCAGTAGTGCTGAGGGTGAGAGACCCTGCTGTACATGGCCCCACAGTTCCTAGATGGGCACCAGGCCAGCGCTTCCCACACGTAATTCTAATCAGTTGTTTAATTCTCTGACTGCCCCCTTACACTGTGAGCTCTAGGACATTAGGGTCTGTCTGGTTGGTGTGCCACTGTATCCTCGGTTCTCAATATGTTGGCACGTCGTAGTACAGTGTATTGAGTGAATGGATGAATGAGTGAACAAGTGAAAAATGATTATCTCAGCCCCTGATGTTTGGGGGTCTGCTGCAGCTCACGTTCATTCATTCAACAAACATATATGGGTGACTGTTCTGTCCCAAGCCCTGTACTGGGTGTGGAGATAGAAGATACAGCTCCTGTCTCTGAGAAACTCACAGTCAAGTGAACCAAGGATTACTACAGGGCACAATTAAGTCAGTGACACTGTTATTAACAGGGTGCTAGATGGTAGACTTCTTGCCTTCCATGTGGGAGACCTAGGTTCGATTCCCAGCCAATGTACCTCATGCCTCCATCCCTCTGTCAGTGGAGGCTTGCATGTTGCTGTGATGCTGAACAGGTTTCAGCGGAGCTTCCAGACTAAGAAGAAAGGCCTGGTGATCTACTTGTGAAAATCAGCCAATGAAAACCCTATGCATCACAACGGTCTGATCCCATTGTGCTTGGGGTTGCCACGAGCTGGGGGCCGACTTGATGGTAGCTAGCAACAACAACATGGGAGCTTAGAGGAAGAGGGAATCAAGGAGGGCTGTGCTAGGCACTGGGACATGACAGTAAACAAGACGGACGTAGGTCCCTGCTCTCTTGGAGCTCTATCTTGTTGGGCTACTGAAGCATGAATAGGAGTTTTCCAGGAAAAGAGGAAGGTAAAAGAGCATTCCAGGAAGAGGGAACTACACAGGCACAGGCAGGAAAGCTCAGCTCGGGAGAATCCCTGTAACATCCCAGCCTTCCCTCTCTTTAGGGTGACTTTCCACTTGGGACCCCCAGCAACCCCCTTCATGTAGGTTTGATTTTATCTGACTATGGCCCTAGGGAGTCCTGGTGGTGCAGTGATTAAAGTGTTTGGCTGCTATCCGAAAGTTTGACTGAACCCACCAGCTGCGCTCTGCAGGAGAAAGATGTGGCAATCCTCTTCCGTAAAGATTTACAGCCTTGGAAACCCTATGGGGCAGTTCTACTCTGTCCTATAGGGTCCCTATGAATCAGAATTACCTCGATGTCAATGGGTTATAGCCCTGTGTGGTGCAAAAAGTTAACACACTCAGCTGCTAACGGAAAGGCTGGAGGTTTGAGTCCAGCCAGAGGCACTCGGAAGAAAGGCTTGGCAAATCTACTTTCGAAAAGTCAGCCATTGAAAACTCTATGGAGCACAGTTCTATTCTGACACATATGAGGTCACCATGAGTCAGAATTGACTCCATGGCAACTGTTTTTTGTTTTCTCTTTAATATGGCAGCAAGCAGGGGCCCCCTGGGCCACTCTGACTCTGTGCAAAGGAGTAAGGGTCCCTGCCGTCCTCTTCCTGTTTGTGGCTCCAGGCTATGCATCCCAGAGTTTATTGACCCAGAGTCAGTACCTGCTACACTTTCGCATTGTCAGCCGGAATCTCAGCGACCTGGACCCTGGGTCCTCAGAGTACACTGCACTGCTGTGGGACATCCAGGACAAGGTGAGGTCTCTCCTGCCCCTCCCTTCTCTTCCTGCCCTGGGTCACTCTCTTCATCCTCTGACTTACATCTACTAAGTGATTATTTCAATTCTTCATTTTACATATGTGTTCTGGCTTCTCTCAGTTTCCAAAGGTGGTGCCTGGGCTGCCTTCCCATTTCCAAGGTGGGCAAACTGAGGCTCAGAAAGAGGTATGGCATGCCTAAGACTGCACAGGTGAGTTAGGGGGCAGAGCCAGGATTTGAACCCAGGTCTGTCTATTGAGCACTTTCTTGTATTACCATCTCATTTAATTCCCACAACAGCTCCTGTGAGCTGGGAACTATTATCATCCCCATTGTTCAGATGGAAAAACTGAGATTGAGAAGTGACACAAACTGCCCAAGAACTGTCAAAGCTAGGGTTTGAACCCAGGCCTCTGAGGGCTGGTGAAGGAACTAAGGCATCTACACTGGGGAAGAGGAGGATTATATGAACACAGTGCGGACTTTGGATGTTTCTGAAGTTCAGTTCCATCATCTGTAACATGGGGATAATTATAATACCTTCCACTGAGAGGGAGGGAATGTACGCTCAACAAGTGTTTGTTATTGTCAGTTTTATTCCTTTCATCCCTAATTCCTGATCAGAGTGTCTTCTGTAGACTGTGGAGAGTCTTTGCTTGTCCCTCCCCGCATCGTTTGCTGGCTCTGTAGTGTGCAACTCAGCAGTCATCATTGGTGTTGGATGCTGGCTGAGTTCCGTGGTCTCTTTCCCCAGGTTGAGCTCTGTGTTGGTCACCATCAAGGCCCTGTTCTCCTCTAATCTGGAACCCAGCATAGTGGAGCAAGTCTTCCTAGCCAGGACCCTGAATGCCTCATCCCACTGGCTGGGCACCACTTACCAGCTGGAGGACCTGCATGTGACAGGTGCAAGGTGGGCAGCTGGCTTTGTGGCTGGAAGAGATGGGACTGTGAGGAAGGGATGGGACTTTCGAGTAGCAGTAGAATGGATGGAGGCTCTGGAGGTAAAAATGGGACCATATTGATGACCCCCAGCAGTGGGTCATCCAACAGGAGGTGGTAAGAGAATATGCACTGATTGCATCCAAGGAAACGGTTACTTTTACATGTCGTCTTAGGCATCTAGTGCTGCTATAACAGAAATACCACAAGTGGGTGTCTTTAAGGAACAGATACGTGTTTTCTCAAAGTTTAGAGCCCCAGAAGTCTGAATTCAGGACGCCATTTCTAGGGGAAGTCTTTCCCTCTCTGTCCGTCCTTGAGGAAGGTCCTTGACTCTTTTCAGCTTCTAGTCCTTGGCTCCTTGGTGATCTTCACATGGCATGTCATCTATCTTTCCCCATCTCTGCTTGCTTGCTCAATCTGCTCTTTTTATATCCCAAAAGAGATTGACTTAAGACACGTCCTACACTAATATTGCTTCATTAACATAATAAAGAAAACCCTATTCCCAAATGAGATTATAACCACAGTATAGTAGGATTTATAACACGTGTTTTTTGGGGACAGAATTCAGTCCAAAACATACGTCAAGCTTTCTAGCCTAAAATGTGGAGGATCCTATGCTGCCTTATTAAAAAAAAAAAAAAAGTTTCCATTGTTGTAAAGAAACAACTTTAAGCCTTCTGAAACAAAGAGATTTTTTACTGTAACTTATCAGAAAACAAAGATGGGAAATTGGCTGCAAGCACTCAGGCTATAAACACAACAAAATCCAAAGAAGCACAATCTGTAAGTGCTTTTTATACAATTTTGACAGGTGCTGATTCATTATGAGTAAATTACGTACAGACTGTGATTGGTTAAAGTAAAGACAAAGAACTAAGATAATGTTGGATGACCTTTTCTTGTTTTTATTTTCTAACAATTTGGCTCAGGTGTCCTGGGTCTGTCATATGATGATTGTTTTTTTATTTGTTATGTGGGCTACGTATGTCATTGTGTAGATCTTTAACTTGCTTCCGGGGTAAAGTGTTATTTAGTTTCGGTACACACGTCCACTGTACATTGAACCAGTTAGAGCTTTCTGTACCACTTCTTTGATGTAGACCATTTTCTATTGTTTTAAGCTTTTCAGATTCTGACAAACAAGTTGGTCTTTTGTGGTTATGGCCTGCTGTGGTTAGGTTAACCCCTTATCACAGTGAAGTCGATTCTGACTCATGGTAATCCCGTGTGTGTCAGAGGAGAGCTGTGCTCCATACGGTTTTCTTGGCTGTGATCTTTATGGAAACAGATCACCAGGCCTTTCTTCTGAGGCTCCTCTGGGTCGATCAAGCCTCCAATCTTTTGGTTGGTAGCCAAGCACTTGAGTGTTTGCACCACCCAGGGATTCCTAAGTTGCCTTCTTAGGTCCCCAGTTATGCGTTCATTCACTGAACAAATAATGAAAGTAAACAGGCACTAATGATATATTGCAATAATTGCTATCATAAGCAAATTTCAGGAGCCTGTGGCAATCCCAAGGTGGGACACACAGCCCTGTCTTGGAAAGTTTTCTGAAATAAGTGATGAAGAAGCCAAGATCTAGTGGAGGACAAGACCAAGCCAGCGGGAAGAGAGGAGGAATTGTTTTCCACATACCTAGAATCTAGAGGAGAGAAAGAACGTGGCCTATTTGGGGAAGATGTAAGAAGTTTGGTGTGGCTGGAACATATGCTGTGAGACAGAAGAGGTGACACCTGAGGCTAAAGAAGTGGGTGGGGACTTTGTGGGGTACTGGAACATTTTGAGGAGGGACATAACACACTCAGAGTTCTGCTATAGAAAGTTCAGCCTCTGGGTGCTGTGTAGAGGCAGGAAGACCCATTGGGAACCCAGGTCATCCATCAGAAATTTAGGCAAAGTTATTTCTATCTAGGGAAATGCCTTTGGGTCCCTAAGAGCCACTTCACTTCAACAAATAGGTATTACTATCTGCGAGAGGCCAGACCTCTGAGAGTAGGCAAATAGGACATGGTCCTGCCCTTAAGGGGCAGTTCTACAGGTGACACTTGAGTATGTCATTTCCTGCCTCTCTTTGCTGACATTTCTAGTCAGTGAACTTGACTACTTCAGGTGGACTTGAGGTCCAAGTTGGCTTTAGACCTGTCCTTCAATGGTCCCACAGTCACCTAGAGGAAGCAAGCGTTCTGCCCATGCCTTTTCTCAGTCATCTCCTTCACATATTGAACTGAAAATCTGAATCCAAGAGCTCACCATGTTTTTTTCAGTTTCCAATCACAGCATCCAAATGTCCTGCTTATTGATAATGCATTTGGAAACCTATTTTATCCTTTCTCCAAGGCAGTTGTGTAAAATGTCCATTTTCTCAAATAAAAGCATTTCCAAGAGAATTAGCCAATTTGTTAATTTATTAAAAAAAAAAACATAATAAGGGCAAAGATGGCTTGGGCTCTTCAGGAGACAATTAGAAAATTAACTCTGCACAGATTTTTAACTTTCAAAACACAGTATCTTCATGTGACAGAGCAAAAGTATGCTCCCTCATTTTGCAACCGAAGAAATTGAAGTTTCCCCTCTGTTACCCAGAAGACCCGAAGAATCATTCCACATCATTTCTGGATGTTTGAAGACAGTGCCCTCATAACAGAGCTCATATCTTTGATCATTACCATATGACTGCCCTCAGCATGCATGAGCATGGCTAGGAGGACTGAGCGGTAACTTCCAGTGGCTCTGCCCCATGCTTGGGTTGAATGGAAAGCACCTGGGAAGCCAGGTTTTTCATTAAAGCCCCCGTAGGGAGGACTTCTGGAGAAGGAGCATATGACCAGACATCAGAAGAATGGGTTCTAGTCCCAGCCCTAATGCTGCCTTGGCTGGAACCAAGCCAAGTTTCTTCCTTTCTCCAGGTCTCAGTTTCTTCCTTTGTAAATTATGACTTTGGTTTAGAAAAGGGCTACCTTTAAGCCAATATTGGCCCATAAAAAAGTTCTCCCTGAAATGAACAAAGATGAGGACTATACAGTGAGTTCTTAAAGCTTAGTCTAAAGGGTCTAAAGGACAGTTCCTCACTTTGACCTACATCCTTCCTACATGTAGTGTTCAAACACCATTTTTAAAAATTAAATGGAGGTGCAAGTGAAAAAAAGAAAGAAAGAAAGGAATTTAGGCAAAGGTGTGTGATAGATGCCCAGTGGGGTGGTCCACACTTGTACCTGCCAACCAAGCCCCAGAGAGGCCCATCTCCTCTTCCCCACATTCTAGTGCACACTCATGCTGCTTGATGAAAGAAGAGCTGGACAGGTAGACAGATGGAGACAAGGTGGACGGGTGGATAAAGGGTCTTCTGTAGCCCACCTTTAAAAAGCCAGCTCAAGTCACATTGCCAAGAATAAGTAGGCTGGTTGGAATGACCTCTTGGTCAAACTCTCCCCCCACACATGGGGGTTTTACATACTTTCTTTATTTTCCAGGAGTGGAGCCATCAGTTTATCTACTGACAGACAAACAGACGAGCAGCACCAGCCCCCAGCACTTCCAGCTGAATTTCACTGTCACCAACCTACTATATTCCCAAGACATAGCCCAGCCAAACTCTATCAAATACCAGCGGAACAAGAGAAGTATCGAGGATGTGGTGAGTATGGGGCTCTGTATCCATTCTGTTCCCATGCAAAACCTAGCTCAAGGATATGAGGTAGTCAGAGGGTGACTTTTTGTAATAATTCTTGAAGGCAGATTCTTAGTCCCATTTTATAGATTAAGAAACCAGTGCAGCGAGTTTCAGTGGCTGGCCTGGGGGCACACAGCTAAATCATGCCCTGGAACATAATATTTTTTGTCACATGCACCTGGGCTAGTGTTTGTTGAGACAAGAAAAAGACAGATGGGGAAGTGGGCTTAGTGGCTGAGAATTCCCTAAGGCTGCTGGGCTTGGGATTCCGACCTAGGAAATATTGTCTCTCTTTCAGCTCAACCAGCTCTTCCGAAACAGCAGCATCAAGAGTTCTTTTTTAGACTGTCAAGTTATAGCATTCAGGTAAGTTGCAACTAAGGTACTAATGACTCTGGGAACTTCTGCTACCCTTTAAATTATTCCCTGTTACCGTCTCTCAGTTCTCAAGTGTTAAGGAAGAGCTAACCCAAGGTAAACATGGCTGTTACTTAAAAACCGGCTGAAATGCACTCAAATCAGAAGTGATTAGTAGGTTTAGGATCCACCCTACAGTGGTATGACCGCAACTGATTGATAGATTACATTACATTAGACTGCATTATGGAAAGTAAGTACATTACATTACATTATATTACGTATGTATGCGAAAGCTGGACAAGTAAGGAAGACCAAAGAAGAACTGACAACTTTGAATTACGGTGTTGGCAAAGAATATTTAATATACAATGGACTTCCAGAAGAATGAACAAGTCTGTCCTGGAAGAAGTACAACCAGAATGCTCCTTAGAAGCAAGGATGGCAAGACTTCGTCTCATGTACTTTGGACACATTATCAGATGTCCCTGGAGAAGGACGTCACGCTTGGTAAAGTGGAGGGTCATCGAAAAAGAGGAAGACCTTCAACGAGATGCATTGACACAGTGGCTGAAACAATGGGCTCAAGCATAGCAAAGATTGTGAGGACGGCATAGGACCTGGCACTGTTTCATTCTGTTGTACATAGGGTTGCTGTAAGTCAGAACTGACTTGATGGCACCTAACAACAACAACAGCACTACACTACACTGTACTACATTACAAAAAGTAATCCACTCTACCCAAGGCCAACTGCATTTAATCTCATGATTAAATTGTAACAGCATATAGTCAATATGTATTTTCGGGGGACACAATTTGATCCATAACAGTGGTTTTCAAAGTTACTGAGGAACTGGAAAGAGGGGAATGGAACAGGATAAGTTAAAATGCCGCAAAACTTGCTGTCATTACCAAGATTCAGCTATTTGGTTTTTTTCTTTTAATAACTAAATTTTTTGTTGTTTTTGTTGAGAATATACACAGCAGAACGTACACCAATTCAACAATTTCTACATGTACAATTCAGTGACTTTAATTACATTATTCAAGTTGTGCAACCATTCTCACCCTCCTTGTCTGAGTTGTTCCTCCCTCATTAACATAAACTCACTGTCTCCTAAGGTTCCTATCTAATCTTTCAAGTGGCTGTTGTCAGTTTGATCCCATATACATAAATCTTTAAAGAGCATAAAGCTCAAGGCAGACATTCTTTACGAGTTAAGCTAAAATAGTGTTTGATTTTAAGAAGACTTCAGGGGATATTTTTGGTCTAAAGTTTAAAGATTATCTCAGGGCAATAGTTTCAGGGGTTCATCCAGCCTCCATGGCTCCAGAAAGTCTGGAGTCCATGAGAATTTGAAATTCTATTCTTCATTTTCTCCCTTTTGATCAGGATTCTTCTATAGAATCTTTGATCAAAACATTCAGTAATGGTAGCCAAGTGCTATCCAATTCTTCTGGTCTCATGGCAAAGGAGGCAGTTGTTCATTGAGGCAATTAGCCACATGTTTACATTTTTTCCACACATTCTATTTCTTCCTTTTATTCCTGACTCTCCTTCTCCCTCTTTTGCTCCAGGCAAAAAGAGACCAATTGTTGTCAGCTGTTTTTCTTATATAAATGCTCCTTGGATTGTTGCAAAACTCTGGTCAATTTCCAGTCTTCTAAAAAAGTCGATTTTGGCAAGTTTTGCCCGTGTTCTCATTGCTTTTGTGAATTTTCAGAGGTATTTACTCTGACATTCCAGAAGTCCTTCCTCCTGGGACTATTTACCCACACTAAAAAATTAAAACCCATTGCCCCTGAGTTGATTCCAACTCATGGTGACCCCATGTGTTACACAGTAGAACTGCTCCATAGGGTTTTCTTGGCTGTAGTCTTTACAGAAGCAGATTGCCAGGCCTTTCTTCTGTGGCACCACTTTGGATTAGCAGTTGAGCACAAACCGTTAGCATCACCCAGGAACTTCTTCACCCACACTAGCCACATTTTAAGTGTTCAGTGACCACATGGGGCTAGTAATCATTGTATTGGATAGTGCACATACAGAACATTTCCATCATTGCAAAAAGTTCTCCTAGACATGGCCTGGAAGTAAGGAACCTAGAACCAAGTTCTAGAATTCTAGACACCTTGTTCATCCTTCTTGCCTTTTCAGATCTGTTCCCTTCAGCAACCACACCAGCGTGGACTCCCTGTGTAACTTCCCACCCTTGACTTGGAGACTGGATGAATTTTCCACCTATGAGGAATTCCTGCGGCTGACCCAGAACGGTACCCAGCTACGGAACTTCACTCTGGACAGGAACAGTGTCCTAGTGGATGGTAAGGCTCCCTGGTCACTGGGGCTGGGGGTTGAGTGGGGTTTGATTCCCATACCTGGGGTCTTCCTTGGGAATCTAGAGGTTTGAGATGAGTCAGCATTGAACTTGCTTAGACTGGCAGGAGGTGGCATGGTCCCTCAGGCTTTACGCACCACTGAAAGACAGAATGGGGGTCCCTGGGTAGCGCAAATGGTTTTCACTCAACTAGTAGCCAAAAGATAGGCAATTCATATCCATCCAGAGGTGTATTACATAAGAAAGGCCTGGCGATCTACTTCTGTAGGATTACAGCCATTGAAAACCCTACTCGGAAACATATGGGGTCACCATGAGTTGGAATCAACTCAATGGCAACAGGTTTGTTTTTGTTTTTTTTTAATGGGACACAGGAAGTCTTTGTCTCTCCTAGCCAGCTGTGTGACTTCAGGCTAGTCACTTCCCCTCTCTGGGCTTCTGTTTCCTTATCGCTATACTGCAAGCCACTTTGCGAGATGGTCAGTGAGGGTCTCCCTCTAAGATGTATCTGATCCTCCCTTGACAGCTGTAATGGAATGGACCTATCCTCCCTTTCCAATGCCTCCAATGTGGCTAAACCTTGCACATCCACATTTATTCATTCAAAAAATTGTTGAGTGTCTACAATGTACAATACACCAGGAATATAGCAGGAGAGGAGGCCCTGGGTGATGCAAATTGTCTGCTAACTGAAAGATTAGAGGTTAAAGTATACCCAGAGGTGCCTTGGAAGAAAGGCCTGGCGATCTCCTTCCAAAAAATTAGCTATTGGAAGTCCTGTGGAGCACAGTTCTATTCTGACACACATGGGTTGCCATGAGTTGGACTCAACTTCATGGTAACTGGCTTTCTCTGCTTGTTCATTATTATATTCCAAGAACCCAATATTCTGCCTGACACATAATAAACACTCAAATATATATATATAGAAGGAAAAACCAGACCTCATATACAATATACAATCCCTTTTAGGTTGAATGTGAATAACAAATGGGATGGGACCCTCCAATGCCCATGTGCATTGTTCCTGGTTTTGAATTACTGTTGTACAAGAGGACATTTGTGATTCTCTAGGAGTCAGCAGATTTTTTTCTGTAAAGGGCCAGATATGTTAGGCTTTGTGGGCCACATAGTTCTCTGTCACATCAACTAAAGGACTTATCAATTATTTTAAAAAGTAAAAAGCATTATCAGCACACAGGCTGTACAGAATCAGGCCACAGACCTGACTTGGCTCATAGGCTGTAGTTTGCCAAGTCCTGCTCCTGATCAACACTATCCAATAGAACTTTCTGCAGTGACGGAAATATTCTATGTCTATGCTGTCCAGTACAGCAGCCACATGGGCCTATTGACCACTTTAAGTGTGGCTAATGTGACAGAGGTACTGGATTTTAAATTTTATTTGATTTTAACCTAAATTAAAAAAGGCACTTGTGGTTGGTCCTACCATATTGGATAGCACATCTATCTTAAGTTTGACCCAAAAGGGGTCTGGTGGGTGTCGTGGATGGTCAGGTGCAGCATGAGGAAGTGAGACTCATGCAGGAAGGCCAGAAGACAAACAGAATTGAGTACTCACAGGTCCCAGAGAGAAAACTACAGTTCGCCTAAACACCAGGCCACACAGGGACTGCACCCAGGGACAAGACAATAATAAGCCGGAACTGTAGGAGACAGCTAGCAGTGTGGGGTCTCGGGGTAAGAATGTGCTGAAGCTTTACTGGTCAGTTAAAAGGTTTCTAGGGCATTAATGTGGGAAAATGGAGACATTTCATCACAAGATTCATTTGGACATGGCTGGGAGGGGCAAGGAATAACTATGCCTTTGAGAGACTGGGTTACAAGATAGCAACAGTTTTTATCACAGGATACTATATGGGGCATGCCAGAGAGGGCCAGTTAGAAGTCACAACTGTTGAGAGACCATGTGACAAGATAGGAATGACTGTGTCATAAACTGAGTGAAACAGCAGCTAGGAGGAATGAACAGATGCCAAGGCGGCAAATTATGGAAGCCACAAATTGGCCTCATGACAACATCTTTAAGACGTTGGCTGAAGACAGGTCATACGAGAAGGGGACCTACAATTCTCTCCCTATACCTGGTGGATGCCATCTCTCTTTACACTTAAGGAGCTTATGTTCTAGGTGAGAATAACAAGAGCAGGCAGTTGTCACTTTTAAATTCTTTGATGTGAACCTATCCTGACCAGGAGAATAATCAGAAAAGACTTCCTGGAAGAAATTACATGGAAGATGAGTATAAAACAACTAGGTAAAGTTTGATAAGGGGACGAATATGTTTCTAGGCAGAGGAATAGATTTAGAGTGGGAATTTCCAAATTTAGAGAGATCCTGGAGGCTTCCCAACTTGTGATGACCTATTCTTCTCCCACCACCAGTTGGCCCAGCCCAATTAGGTCTCCCATGCCCAGGGGTATGAATTTGATTTAATTTCTCATACCCTTTTGGTGTGCTAATGGCCTTGTAATTATGTAGCAAAGTGTTTTTACTATTTAAAGATGCAAACTGAAGTATCAGGGGTGAAATATCAGAGCCCCAAAATATATAAAGCAAACATTAACAGAATTGAAGGGAGAAATAGACAGTTCTACATTACAAGTTGGAGATTCCAATATGCCACTTTCAATAATGACAAAACATCTAGAAAGAAGATCAATAAGGATATAGAGGACCTGAATGAATTAACTAGACCCAGCAGACATATCTAGAGCACTCCACCCAACAATATACATTCTTCTCCAGTACACATGGATCATTCTCCCAGATAGAACACATGTTAGACCACAAGCAAGTCTCGTGGACAGAAATTAGAAATTTAACAGCAAAAGGTAAACTGAAAAATACACAAATATGTGGAAATCAAACAACCCGTGGGTCAAGGAAGAAATCAAGAGAGAAATCAGGAAAGAATTGAATGAAAATGAAAGCACAACATACTAACACTTATGGGATGCAGTGAAGGCAGTGCTCAGAGGGAAATTCATAGCAGTAGATGCCTACATCAAAAAAGAAAAAATATCTAAAATCAATAACCTAACTCTACAGCTTGAGGAACTAGAAAAAGAAGAGCAAACAAAGCCCAAAGCTACCAGAAGAAGGGAAATAACAAAGATCAGAGCAGAGGTCAATGAAATAGAGAATAGAAATATCATGATGTCTACTTGACTTTAACATTTCAGTGAAAATATTAGCTGGAGTAAGTGTAGCAAAGATGTTAATAATTGTTCAATCTAGACAGATTTTCGTTATTTGTTCCTTCTATTTTTCTGTATATTTGAAAAGTTTTATTTTAAAAAATAAAACACACACACACTCTCCATTTCATTTATTTTAAGGGTATTCTCCCAACAGACATGATGCCTTGACTAAGAATGCTGGTAAGTCTCAAAGGGGAGTCCCTGGGTGGTGCAAATGGTTAATGCATTTGGCTGCTAACTTAAAGGTTGAAGGTTCGAGTTCACCCAGAGGCACACTGGAAAAAAGTCCCGGAGATCTGCTTTAAAAAAATCAGCCATTGAAAACCCTGTGACACACATGGGGTCATACGAGTTGGAAATGACTCAATAGCAATTTTTTTTTTAAGTCTCAAGGAGCCCCAACCCAAGGTAGAGGGGGGACAGCCTGATGATGTGCCCATCAAGAAGCACCATGCACACCCGGTCTCTGATGATAATAAATGTTGGGTAACCCATGTAAGGACTGATGAGGCACAGTGAGGGGACAGTGGGAGTCCTGGCCTTCTGGAGAGCCCACGCTTTTGGGGCTTCAGAACCATGAGGCGATTGGGCCACCAAGCTCTCCTCTGCAGGTCCACGCCCATCCTCAGGCTGCCCAGGATATGAGCAGAAGCCCTGGGAGAGATGACAGGAGGTGGATTACACCAGCACTTTTGTCTCCTCATACCTCCCCTTCTGGACCATCATCCTCATCTGCTTCATGGGTCTCCTGGGACTCATCACCTGCCTGATCTGCTGTTTCCTTGTAAGTGAGGGAAGGTTGCTTGTTTTCTTGTTACTGATTTGTAGAAATTCTTTATATACTCTAAACACAAGTCCTTTGATGGGTATATGCTTTGCAAATATTTTCTCCCAGTCTATGTGTGGCTTGCCTTTTAATTTCTTAACATTAGTCATTAAAGAAATGTAAATTGAAGTCACAAGAAATACCACTACATGCAGGCAAGAATGGCTGAATTTAAAAAGACTGATTATAACAAGTGTTGGTGAGAATGTGAAGCAACTGGACCTCTCATATAGTGCTAGTGGAAAACAGCTTGGACATTTCTTTAAAAGTTACATATACCTCTTGTATGACCCAGCCAAACCTACTACTAGGAATTTATCCAAGAGAAATTAAGGCATATGTCTATGCAAAGACTTGTACACAAATATTCATAGAAGCTTTGTTTATAATAGCCCAAATCTGAAAACAACACAATTATCATCAACAGATGAATGGATAAACAAACTGATATATCCCTACGATGTAATCATATTCAGCAATTGAAAAAGAATGAATTATTAATACAGGCAACAAGATAGATAAACCTCAAAATAATTACGCCGAGTGAAAAGAGCTCATATTATATGATTCTTTTTTTTTTAATTCTTGAAAATACAAATTACTCTATAGTGACAGGAAGCAGATCAGTGGTTGCCTGGGAATGAAGAAGTTTGGAGGGGAGGGTGCAGAGAAGGAGGAATTACAAAAGGATATGATTAAACTTTGATAACAGGGGCATACATTATCTTGATTGTGGTGATGGTTCAACCACAGTCAAAACTTATCAAACTGTTTAAATATGTGCAGTTTATTGTATGAAAATTATACATCAATATAGCTTGGGAGGTGGGGGAGGAGACAGAGAGAGAATGAATATGAAGGGCTATCAGAGTCAGAAGTGAGAATGTGAGACTTTGGCTCACTTATTTTAAACATGTCATCAGGAAAGACCAGTCACCGTTAAAAAACACCGTGTTTGTTAAAGTAGAGGGTCAGTGAAAACCCTTACTAAAATGGATTGACAACATAGCTGTAACAATGGACTCAAACATATCAAAGATCATGGAGATGGCGCAGGGTTGGGCAACATTTTATTCTGTCAGACTTAAGGTTGCTGTGAGTCGGAGCCAACTCAATGGCAGCTAACGACATCAGAGGACAAAAAGGTAGAAAATTTGAGAATGAAAGGGGTGAGAGAAGAAAAGGAAGAGGTTATTACAAGAAGAAAGAGGGAAAGGAAAAGAAGGACTGAGGGAGACAAGTAAATGGAAAAAGGAGAGACATAAGGAGCAGAAGACTCTTGTGGTTTTGGCCACATACTACTGCAGTTGCCCATACTCAGGGAGCTGACCAGTCCATTCTGATGCCATCTCTCACCTTCACAGGTCACCATCTGCCTGCAGAAGAAGAAGGGAGACTACAAGGTGCAGCGCCACTCCCTGGGCTATTACCTGCCACCCCTAGATTTGAGGAAGCTGCAATGACTGGATCTGTTTGAGGCCCCTTCCCCCAGCCAGGGTCCAAGGAAGTTTGGCTGGAGCTAAATAAACCGCATTGGTCCCACACAGCCTTTTGGCCTTTTGTGACTTGGCTCTGACTGGTTCACAGGAGACTAAGAGAGAAGTCTTTCCCTTTCTTTAGTCCTGAAGGCACTGTTTTGTGGCTTTGCACTATCTCATACTTCAGGGACACCAGATCTACTGAAACTGGTACAGAAATTGTCCATCGTATAAAGTCAATGTCCCACTGCTCTGTGATGTTTCCCTTCTTAATCACCCACTACACACCTCGCCTTGACTCCTGTGCCAACCATCAGTCAGTCACCAGCCGTCTGTGTTTCTCCCTCTCCCCACCTACTGCAGAAGCCCAGGCAGGCTCAAATTCCCCTTTCACTACTTCATTCTCTGAAGCCCAGATTCACCAGGGCTCTCAGATCAGTCCGCCTCAGTGGCTGCTCACTCCCTCATATGCCCTCCATGATAGGAAATAGGCCAAGAAGGAATGAGTGGGTCAGAAATTACTCTGCTTTTAACCTTGGGATTTGGGAGCTGAAATGGCTATGTATCTGGGAAGCCTGAGTCCCAGAGTGATACCAAGGCTGTATAAAGATAATGTCTACTTTGGATGCAAAGATGAATAAAACTTGAGGCAGAGGTGGGGGCGGACCTGAGGGAAAAGAAAGACAGTCTTCCTTTCGTCTTTCTCTGTACTGAATCCAACCACAGTTATAGTAGAAGCTCCCCAACGGGCAGCTCCAAAAGCTTCCCCAAAGCCTCCAAGCTGGGCTAGCCTGCCCTGGGTTTGCTGGAAGATTGCATTATCTCCACACATTTTGCAGACTACCACAGCTGAAGATACTCGAAGGCTAAGAGTTAAACTTCCCCTTATTTGAGCTTATTTGGTGTGAGCGTCACATCCTCAGTCTTCAGCAGGGTCATTCTCCCAGAATGCACTCTCTGAAGATGATACTAATGATAATCATAGCTGTCAGTTATTGACTGCTTCAGATCTACTAAGCACCATGGTTGACTAGGCTGCATGTGTTATCTCAGTTACCTTCACCACCCTTGAGGGTTGTATTCCCTTTTTAAAGATAAAGATATGGAGGCTCAGAAATATTAGTAACTTAAAAGGAAGAAAAAATGGCTTAGAACATAAATTATATACCTAGCCAAACTATGGAGCCCTGGTGGCTCAGCGGTTAAGCGTTTGGCTGCTAAACAGAAGGTCAGCAGTTCAAATCCACCAGCCTCTCCTTGGAAATCCTACGGGGCAGTTCTACTCCGTCCTATAGGGTCGCTGTGAGTCGGAATTGACTCAATGGCAACAGGTTAGGGTTAGGTTAGCCAAACTATCTGTCAAAGAGACAGACATTTTCAGACATACAGACTCAGAGTTTAACTTCCACAGGCCTTCAGTGAAAATGCTAAAGAATGTATGTGACAAGAAGTAATGTGAACCCAGAAACATGTATTGGAATGAAGAAAACAGAAGTGATGAAGAAAGGGGGGGGGGTGTATCTAAATTGGTATTATTTTTTTAAATAAGACATTAAAACTTGCTCTGTCTAAAATTCCAGATGATCACCACATGGGAGAATAGAGAAAAGAAGATGGAATTTTAAAAGAATTCATTTTTAGGGAGCTAGAAATACTATAGACACTCTACTACTTTTTAACACATCATTCTCATAAATTGTTAAATCCACCCATCAAAATAAGTAAGGATAAAGAGGATTTGATTAATATAACAAGATTGATCAGACAAAGAGACAAATAGATTTTAAACTCGTAAGCCAAACAAGTAAGGCTTGTTAAGATTAATGATACTGACAAAGTTCTCCATTGATATCACAATCCCACAAATAGCATGTCAATTTTTATTAATCACGTTTCAAGCCCATAGAAGTCTAATAAATGAGGGAATGCCTGGTATTTCATTAAATGGAACTTCTCAGTCTCTGAATTGACATGCAACAAATAACAGAAAAATAAAGAAATAGAGATAGGTACTATTTAAGAACATAGGTATAAAAGTCCTTTAATGAAATATTTTGGAATCTATTGTAATAATAAACACAAAAAGGATAATCCATTCTGATTTCTTGTCGTTAGCTGCCGTCAAGTCGGCCTCACCTCATGGAGATCCAATGCACAATGGCATCAGACCATTGTGATCCATAGACTTTGCACTGGCTGGTTTTCAGAAGTAGATCAGCAGGCTTTTCTTCCTAGTCCTTAGTGTGGAAGCTCTACTGAAACCTGTTGAGCAACAATGCAATGCACAAGCCTCCAATGATAGGGGAATTGAACCCAGGTCTCCCACATGAAAGGCAAGAATTTTACCACTGAACCACCACTACTCCATCCATTCTGACTACCCGTTACCAGTTGCCATTGAGTCGATTCTGATCAGGTTTTATTCATGACTGTGGGACAAAACACTGAATAATTCCACGACTTTGACAACTCCCTATTGACTTTATAATACAAATAAATATAAAAAGTAAATGAAAATGGTGATATAACATGAAAAGGAAAGATTTCTCTCCTCTCCTGAAACCCGTTTTCTCATCTCAAAAAAAAAAAAGAAAAAAATCACTGTTTATATTTTCTTGTGTCACTCAAAGCAGTTTAATAAAGCAGAGTGTTATGGATTAGACTGCATCCCTCCCCCCAAAAAATAAGTATTGGAATCTTAACCCCTATACCAGTGCCCTGGTGGCCTAGTGGTTAAGAGCTAACCAAAAGGTCAGCAGTTCAAATCCACCAGCTGCTCCTTGGAAACCCTATGGGGTAGTTCCACTCTATCCTACAGGTTGCTATGAGTTGGAATTGACTCAACAGCACCTAATAACAACAACAAATACTAGTGGAAAGGAGCCCTGGTAGGGCCATTGTTAAGTGCTGGCCTACTAACAGCAAGGTGGGTTCAAACCTACCAAGCAGCTCCATGGGAGAAAAGACCTAGAAATCTGCTCCCATAAAGATTACAGCCTAGGAAACCCTATGGGGGCAGTTCTACTCTGTCCTATAGCGTTGTTATGAGTTTGAACTGACTGGGCAAACAACAACATACCTGTGGATATAATCCCTTTTGAGAATAGGGTTTTCCTTGTCATGTTAATGATGCCATATCAGTATAAAACAAAAACAAAAACAAAAAAAACCAAACCTGTTGCTGTCGAGTCGATTCTGACTCATAACAACCCTACAGGGACAGAGTAGAACTGCCCCACAGCGTTTCAAAGGAGGGCCTGGTGGATTCGAACTGTTGACCTTTTGGTTAGAAGCCATGGCTCTTAACCACTATGCCATCAGGGTTTGGGTGTCCTAAACCTAATCACCTTTGAGATATTAAAAAATCAGATTAGACACAGAAGCAAGCACAAACCTGGGAAGGGAGGTCCAACCAAGGAACACCCAGGCTACCTACAAGAAAGAAATTAATATGGCTGAGACCTCTATTTGGACTTTCAGCCTTCAGAATTGTGAGAAAATAAATTTTTGTTCTTTAAAGCCACCCATTTGTGGTATTTTTGTTACAGCAGCCCTAAGAAACTAAGACACAGAGTCGTGATATATTTTAGTTTCAATAGTTCAAAACAAGAAAACATTATGGACACTCCAATGATACTAATAAAGTACTGAACTTCATTTCGTCTGTGCTGTCTTCTCTTTCCATATCAGTAAGGGTGTGTCCTAAATCTAATCACCTCTGAGATGTAAAAAGAACAGATTAGACACAGAAGTGAGCACAAACCTGGGAAGACAGATGTAACCAAGAAATGCCCAGGCTACCAACAAGGAAGGAGTCGATATGACTGACTAAGAACTTAAAATCTGAAGCACTTAGTTCATGGAAAGCTATGGCTTATAAGCTACAGCCCTGACCCCATCTTGAGATTTGATACAGAATCCAAAAATTCATTTTACCACTTTGTTAAGTTATTCCTTTAATGCTTGACATGACAAAGGCTTCTACCTAAAGTACAGGCCAGAATCTCTCCTGGCCTCTTAACCATTGTCCAGAACTTAGATCCACTTTAAAAAATGTTTTACAATTTCTTTTTACTTCAACTTGGGATATTCTGTTAAAGTATCAACCAATCAGGTACATCTGTTCATTCATTGTGGTTTCTTTGCTAAAGCTACATAATATGTTTTAGTATATTCATAGTTTTTCCTCTAATTCCTATCAACATGTATAACTTTTACTATAACTCTTTAACATGTATACAATCAGAGTGTGATTATTACTGCAACTTTCATTCATTTTCCTGGAAGTGCTTAACATGGCTTACTTCCTCTTTCAATCCTTTAAAAATGCTTGTGGGATACTTCCACCCCAGACTACTTGGTTTCATTTTGGTAGACCAGGTAGATCCCCAACTGCAATTGTGTTCAGCCTTAATAAACCTCTTTGCTTTTAAAATTTCACACAAGTGTCCAACTCATTTCGCTCATTCACACAGCCAAGATCTCTATTTGGACTTTTGGCCACCAGAACTGTGAGAAAATAAACTTCTCTTCTTTAAAGCCAGCTATTGGTGGTATTTTTGCTATAGCAGCACTAAGAAACTAAGACACAGAGGAATGCTATATTTTACACTTTCAACAGTTCAAAGCAAGAAAACATTACGGGCACTCCAACAATACTAATCAAGTGCCAAGCTCCATTTCATCTGTGCTATCTTCTCTTTCTTGTCTTAATCTTTTTCAGGACATCCTTCTTGGCCCCTCACTTTCTCTGCTTCACTAGCCAGTCTGTCTGCAATCAGTGCTATTGCCAATCTCTCCCTTGCTGTCTTCACTTTCCTTTCCTCTTTCCTAATATCTTCATTGCTTACCACAAATGCTTTGCAGACAAGCTGTGAGATATCAAGACCTCCTTCTGGGATCATCTTCACCAAGTCTGAAGGTGGGCCAGGGGTGGCCATGGAGATGGAGTGCAGATCTCCAGCAAGAGCCCGGAGTAGGGATTC